CAGATTTGTTCTGACAAAGCATAACTGATGTAGTTAGCAAACCATTCAATTTTCCAGCTTCCATTAAATCAGTGAGGGGCTGGATCATTTCTGGAAGTACTTGAGCTGCTTCGAATCACACCCTTTGAACTTAGAAGCTGGCATTATGGTTCATGTGCATCAGACCTCACTTACACTACATCATTGACCATGGTCTTTGACGCTGGCACTTACACACCACCTACCTCAGCCCTTCCTTTAGCAAATCTGTGCTGAAACCTACAGGAGTTTGCGCAGTGTTTCCTGATGAGTCATTTGACCTTTCTTGAGCACTGAAGTTCAGTATATGTTAAACAAGAAAAGGTATTTTTAGCATGAGCTACATTCTCTTTTTATATTTTTCAGACAGCAGCAGTTTGAGCTTTCCAGTAATCCAGTACTTTTATGAAAGTTTTATTTGCTACCTTGCCCTTTTTAGTTTTCTCCCACTTAAAATTAACTAGCATCAGTCCTGCTTGTGCAGAATCATCTACAGATCTGTCCCTAAGACCCAACAGGAGAGCACAGAGCATGAGTGCCCTCAGCTCCACTACCATGGAGCAGAGGCAGGTTAATTCAGTGGGGTCTGAATTAATGTGACATTTTCCAAGTTCAGACACCCAAACTGTAATTAGTCATATGCATTCTTACACTGCTTTAGCTGCAGTGTATGAAAATGCAGGACGTCTGAGGGCAGGACACTTGTAGAACCTACACAGTGTCAGTGTGTGTACCCAGTGTGGAGGATCTTGGCAGGACCCTCCTCTCTGCAGGGCACTTGCTCTTGATGTTCTCCCTTGAGAGTTTTCCACTCACTGTCAATATGAACCCAGATACCTCTTCTGAACTGTAAGGCGGAATTCTGGCTGCCTGTATGCCAGAAGGGCATGCAAAAGCAAATAAAGGGATCATCTGTGCCAGGGGATAGTCATAGCACTCCAGCACACTTTAAATGATTATATGCTCTTAGATACTCATCTCACTGCTTTTGAATAAAGCTCTCTCTTTACATGGCTCCCCTCTTGAGGTCTCCCAGAAACTTTGACTGCTGGAAGCTGTCCTCAGACTGAGAGGGAAATCTGAAAGGCGTTGCAAGAAAGAACTGGGAACACTTGTGGTGTTGGCTAGTTGAAATAAGTGGAGTTAGGCTGCCAAATGGGGAGGCTCTGCGTGACTTAATAGATGTTCGCAGCTGGTTTTGGTACTTTGGTCCTGGCTGCCGACTCCTGACACCTTGGCAGATGTGTGGGCAAATGTTTTGCTGTGGGGCTGTGAACTTGCAGAGCACCCGTTACTTGGCATTCACTACTTCCACACATTTGCCCTGCAGTAACTTTGAGCTGGTTGGGGGTATGTTTATATGTGCCGATAGAGAGCTCCTGTGCGCAACCAGATAAAGTTCTTGCCCTGGTGCTTGTTGCCGTCCTGTGCCTCAGCTCACTGTCTCCTCAGTTGTATGTATACAGCTGTTCCCAGCCTGTGCATGTCAGCTGGGCAACCAGACAGTCTTTGAGAAGCGTAATTCTCCAGAAGATAGGGGTCAGGTTCACAGTTTACAGGAGCTGTTGTCATGATGCACCTGCAAGGGGCAGAATTGCAGCAGGGCAGCTGAACTGTGAAGCCAGCCTGGAAGGGCTTCAGCCACCTCTGCTGTTAAGATAATGCATTGCATATTCATGTAGTTACTCCAGCTTCAACACCAGAAAACTTACTTGCTTGTGGCTGGGACTCAGTGCACAGATGCTTTCCTAAAGTGGTGTCTGTGTGAGCACCTTCATCCGTGAGGCTTCTGAGTTTGTGTAAAACCATTGCTCTCCTCCAAAATGTTAGAGAGGGAAAGATAAGGCACAACTGTTCACCTTGACAGGAGTGCTTATGCTTTCTATGGTGATATTTCTAATCAGAATTTAGTAGATTGGACAGAAAAAATAGACTGAGGGGAATATTAGGAGGAATTAAAACTCCAGCAAACATAGAATATTTATAAAAATAGCTTTATTCCACTGTAGAAATAATCTGGTTGTGAAGTTATGATCAGTTAACTGAGAACATCCTTGAATTAAAATTCTGCCTTGTGCTGAAAAACTAGGGAACATTTGAAACTGCACATTTATTATTCATATGTTCTCATTAGTCAGTCAAAACTTCTGAAGTCAAAATGAATATTAAGGTCATAGCAAAAAATATTTTTATTCCAGGTAAGAGGGTCATACAGCGTTATGTCTTTGTATTTGCAAGTTATTGCATCCTAGCTAGTATTTTCATTTCTGCTTATGTTCATTTGCTTCAGTTCCCTTTCAAAACTGTGTGCACTGGTTATAATGTTAATGATGACAACTCAGACTAAAATTTTTAGCTGAAAAGCTTTACAATGTTATTTCAGAGCCATTACTAATATCTTATTTGTCTTTAGTGTGTAGACGTAATAATGCATGGAATGATGTAGTATTCCAGATCTAAAATGTACAACCTTATAAATAGGACACTTCAACACACAGACATAACTCAAGGGTTCTTCTCTGTAACCTCATTAACACCATAGAGATGTCATAATAGGGACTGAGAAAGCAGTTTTACTCTGTGTTCATACTTCATGGACAAATTTTGCTCCATTTTTTAATCTTGCAAGTGATTCTATTGACTTCACCCATGATTTGTGCATGGTGAAGTCAGAAGAGCTACCCTTCTTTTAATCCTTTTTCATGAATATTTTCAGTGTCTTCCATGAAGCAGAGATAGAAGAGTAATTAAGAAACATGATTATGCCCTTTTCTTTGTGGCCTTACAGACACAGTGATGACAATGAATAACCTTGTCCCCAGCACTAATTATACTGACTGACTTTTTCCCTGCTTAGTTACATGCTCCTGAGATTGTACAAGCCACTAAAATGCTTGGCACCAGCTAAAATGACTTCCTGTCCCCCAGTTATGGTCATGTAATGTCAAGGAAACAGCATTGCTGTGGGTCTCATTGGCAGTCTTCTAGAATACATTCCCATTTCGACTGCAATCTCTGGGATTTTAGAGTTTATTTCAGTTTCTGCTGTGTCAGGCATAATTAGCAGTGTTAATAAACGTTATTTATTAAATGAAAAGAAAATTGTATATTAAAAATTTATATCCTGAAATATCAGTATATATTTTTCTATCATATTGGAAGCAGAAATACAAGGTTTTGAGTTTAGTCTGGTGGAAGGCATTTTGGCATTTAAAGTAAGCAGAATTACCAACTTAGTGACATTTAAAAAATGATACCATAATGTTCCTAAAACCACCATACTGCTGTTGGCTCTAATTGCAGGACAGAAACCACCAGGTGCTGCCCCTTGAATTATTTTTGTGTAGCCTAGGGAGAGTTGCAGGTTGTGAGCCTAGACACCAGCAGCTTAAAATACCTCCCATAATCACTGAATCATAGAATGGTTAGGGTTGGAAAGGACCTTAAGATCATCTAGTTCCAATAACATAGGAACAAATGCTGAACAAGTGTCTTAGGTGCTGCCCTGAGCTGCACAGAAGACATTTGCTATCCCGTCACTTCTCTGACCTGCAAATGGATGCAGAGTACAGCCAGCATCATTTCCATTGCACCGGCAGCTCATGGGGGTCGTACAGAAATGATGAAAGCACTGCCTGCCAAATCCACCTGGGGTTTGCCTGTATGTTACCTAAACATTCGAGCAGTCAGATGGCGGCTAATTAAACAGTAGAGATCAAGGCATTGCTCTGCGAGGAACCGTTGCTTCAGTCCATCCGAGAAGGGCCCCAGCTGAAAAGGCTGCTCTAGCGGCAGAGGGAGATGAGAGCTCCCCTCTCTGGTGTCCCCGTGTCCCAGCAGGGCTGGATCTCAGGTACGGGTAGGCAAGTGCGAGTTTAAAGTATTTCTTTTAGTGTGAGGAAGCCAGGGTAAAGACTTGTGTCAAAAGGCAGAAAAATTTAAGACCAAAAGAGGTTTAAAATAAAGCTAAAGAAACTTTTCCTGGCCATGCTAATCCTCCACGGTACTACAAAGGCAAACACAATAAACCAGCACACAGTTCGACCAGCTCCTTCCCCTTCACTGAAGACTAGTTGGAATGGATCACTGTGCTATTGTATGGTTTGATTGTGCTGACAGTTACATGCCACTGTTCCCATAATAACAATTTTTCTTCTTTGTTCAAATGAAATTTCTAATTACACGTGTGATGGGTTGTTTTAATTCTTTTCCCTTTCCAAATCCACCTTCCTGTTGCAATGCATGATGGGCAGGCTCAATATTGTGCATGACACCCGCTACAAGTGTTGGTAGGTGCCAGCTTTGTTTCTTGATTATCTTAAACCTGTGGTGCAGCTCACAGACCCTCAAAATCCACTGCTAGATTTTAACTTAGAGCTCTCGTGCCAATCCATGTCCCTAAGCCTCCTGCACTAACACCTGTCAATTAAATGCAGTTGTTTTATTTAATTGACATGGACACATAGATGTTGTTAATTTTGTAGAGCAGTTTTTCGAATTGCACATTGTTCTTTGGTGGATTTTGATTGGACTATGAGTTCCAGTGTTTAGAAACTATCTTGTGTTATATAAAGACTGTATCTTGCCATAGCCACATAGACGTATACTGTCCTTCAACAAGATTAATCTTTGTTTGCAGTAAATACTTGTGTTGAATTTTTAAAAGACAAAAATTTGTAAATATAAAGGCATAAAAATTCTACTGTTGATTTTTGTATTGAAATGGTTAAGCTTGTTTGTATCGATTTTCTTGATTTGATGGTAACAAGCATTTTTCCCTTTTTTTCTCTTTCATTTCCCTCCCGTCTTTCTCCCTGGAATGTTGTCCTGCTTTGCACTGTGATTGCATGTCACGCGCTGGCAATGATGTCTCGGGCTTTTTGCTGTGATAAATACCATGCTCAATTCTCCTACCACATGTCGCTCTGGTTCCCATACTGCTACACTCTTCTGTATGTTTGCTTATATGATTTTCCTTCCGAAAGTTCCCATGGTGCACGGTGCTACGCCAGCCACTGTGTCTGCAGCAACAACATCTGCCACAAGTGTTCCCTTCGCTGCAACAGCCACAGCCAACCAGGTTTGCTAATTTACAGCTTTGTTCCTTACAGACAACTTTAAATTGGTGCTTTTAATGAGCATGGGGGTTTTGATTTTACCTCTTGTTGGCCTACACATTCTCTCTAAGATCTGCAGCACAGCTTAATAAGCCTTTATCCATGCTCAAAAGGTGCTGCGGTTCCATTTCTGATGCTAAAAATAATTGATAATAGGGTTTCTGACTCAGTCTTAACATTTATGGGCCATGCTGCTTATTTCTGCTCTCAGAGATGTAAAGAGAAAGGGATAATACATGGAACCCATTATTTATTTCTATTTCTGTGAAGCCAACAGTTCATTTTAGTACAGAACTCCAGTGAAAGCCAGGAAAACCTCTGGGCAGAGGGGTTGCAGGATCACACTTTTAACCATCTGAATTTAGCAGTCTGAATGTTTTCTGACTCTCCTCTTCCAAGAGCCAAACAAAGTGTTTGATCAAGGGCCACACAGAAACTTCTTTTAAACCTTTGTTTCAGCTTGCAGTTCTGCTTGGAAATGGCAGACTTCGGTTCAGAAAATGTCCATTAAAGTCTGGTTTTATTTCTAAATAGTTACCCCAGTTGTTGCCGTGTTTGGATGTATTTCAGGAATAAATGAATAAGGCTTTATTAAGTAAGTGATTAAAAGTCCTCCCAGAAAAGCCAGAAGAGGTGCTCTAAAGATGAGCTTCAGGGCCAGAGGAGCTGCAGTCCCCACACGCACCAGCTGGAGCTGCGCCTGGGAACAGAACATGGCCTGTTGTTTTTCTCTGGCTGCGTTGTCAAAACTGCAGATTTCTGTAGTACATCTGGCTGAAACTGCAACAGTAAAAGCTTTTTAAAGACCCTCTTGTTCCTCTTATAAAAACAAGTATTTTTTTTTTAGATTTACTAGGGAGTTAGAATTGCTGATGTCATGAAGCCATCAATTCTAGTCTAATACACAGGTATTACTCTCAGCTCAGTGGGAATCACTTTTAGAAAAGGGAGCTAAGTGTTTTCTTCAGCATGTTGCAGGCATAGTTCTGTATGTGTAATTAATTCTGGAGATAAATGTCAGTTTTTAAGGCAGGCTTGCCTGACATACTCAGCTTTGTAAGTCATTAGAGCTAACTCCTTAAACAATTCCAAAATCCCATCAGAAAGCTGTCAGGTGTGTGGCACAGCTGGACATCGGGCAGTAGTGCCTTTGCCCATGTTGTATTGCACATGCCCCTCTGTGCTCGGGGTGGATAATGCCAGCAGCCCCAGCCTTACTGCAGCACACCGAGCGCCGCGCTGGCACTAAGGGTACGGCATGCTGCAGGCTTTCATGGGATTAAGCCCAGAATCTTTGGCTTCGAGCCTCTCCACCTTTGCCTTTTGAGCACTCTCAGTTTGTACAATGCCCAGCTGTACATTCTTTGGTAACCTGTCTGCTTACTGGTCTCTCAAAAATACTATTCTAAAAATGATACTACTGCAGTGATAAACAGATGTGCACATCCCAAGTCTCAAAAGGGACATGGACATTTTACGTTTTGCAAAATTATTCAGCTTGGTCTGTTTAGCAGGTAGCACTTTCTGCTCTTCAGAAATGTTTGCTGAATGACCGTGTCATTTACAGATTTAAACCTGCATAAGAATTACTTTGCATTTTGAAAATCTAGTTTATAGGTAAGATGTGCATACATGTCACCTAAGCAAGCAACCACCTGTATGCCCTAAGTATCTTCATATTGTAGTTTATTACACCACAGAGTTAATTTAAGTGTGTCTCTATATCCTTTGTAAGTCCAGAGAGTTGTGAGAACAAGCCAAGCCACAGGAAAATATTATTTTTTAAAATCATCTCTGTCTAAATAGCCATGCATTTTCCCGAATAGATTACAGGGAAACTTTCTGTTGTAGAATCAGATCATTTCATGCATATCCTCCCTGGAGCCTCATAACATACCTAGTACAGTACTGCAGCCAAACCTCAATATATACATATATAACAAATATATGTATATACTCTGTGAGCAATGCTGAAGTTATTTAATGCCACACAATGCAATGTGCATGCATGCCAAAAGTCTTAAGATCTGGCCCTTCATCTTCATTGACTGGTGTTGAAGGTCCTTGGTATGTTTCGACAGCCCTATCCCTGATGCTTCTACACAGTTGGGTGCAAGAGCCTGTCCTGCAGCAGTAGAAAAAAAATGGTATGAGAAGCTTCATTATGCTTGAAGCACATTTCTTTTCAAGGTGGCAATGTTGTAGAGTTGTGTGGAGCTGCTAGGGGAGGAGAGGGCACGAGGGGTGGAAAAACCAACACAAAGACCTGTAAATGATTTAGTTAAGAAGAAACCTCCCCATTCCATTTCTCGTGCAGATTAACAGGTCTCCCTCAGTATCCATCAGGAAAAAGAGTCTTTTCAAGTGCAACAGCCATTTGTGATTGTACAAATCAATTTTGTGCCAATGCCCCAGCATGTTTCCCACTACGTGGGTGCATCTGTTGCTCCCTCAAGCCAGACATGTGGTCCTGTCTGTACCACAGGGTTCCTCATGGTTCCTCCAGCACCCGCACACCTTAGTGCTGGCCATTCTCAAGGACTTGGCCCCAAGGGCTTGCTCTTGCACACCCCCCACGGGGCTGCACAGATGGGACACAAGGCTCCTTTGTAGAATAGAAGTTTGTACTGCTGGTAATCTACTCTGATTTTTTTTAATGGGAAACTGAGTTGATGGAGCACTTCAAGAGAGCCGAGTCCGGAACTCTGCTTATGCAGACAAACATTTTGAGAATTGTTTCACTGCTTTGGGGAGTCTTAGCTTTTCAGCTGACCCACCGTGATGCCCGTGGCGGCCCTGGGCGGCTCTTCTTGACAGCAGATTTTCACCAGCCGTGAAAATCAAGGTCAGGGCATCTTAGGTTTGGCGTTCAACCAAGACACAGAAAGCAGTGAACACTTCACAAAATCAGACTGAAACAAGGCCACTGGAGAATTTGTCATTTTAAATGATACACTGAAAGCACAGAATTTTGTGTAGGCCAACAAAAAGGGCTATTTTCAATTACTGCACTGCATGACTTTTGTAGATTTTAACTTCTCTTGTTTCCTAAACAACCAAGCATACTTATTTATATTTGTCAATTAGTACTTAACACAATGTTTTCTAGTTTTAAGTTGCTATTGTAGCACTTAAGTTTACTTTAACTTCTAGTTACAATATAAAATCCACCAACTCACAGCCAATCCTCCCTTTTCCAGACTTATGTTCTATAGCAAAATGCTGTGTCTCTGGGTTGGCTCATTGCACATGTTATTCATTGTTTAAATTTTTTACCTATAGATACCCATAATATCTGCCGAACATCTGACTAGCCACAAGTATGTTACACAGATGTAGACATTTTGTCATCAAAAAGTAAGTTCCCAATGTGTCATTTCTTGCATTTTTCTTACCTTTATGTGTACATAATTTGTCTTTTTCAGGAACAGGATGGTTTTACTTTCTTTCTAAGAAAATTAGTAAGATGTGGGAAGGAGGCTCTGAGCTCCACTAGCATGCCATTCTTCTCTGAGTGGAGACCCCATAGTTGGCAGTGACCACATTAGCTAGTGTGTCACACCACATGTCGGTATTAGTTTGTACATGGAGTAAAATCAGTCTAAAATTAGTGGTTGACATTTTGTTTATGAAGGATGACAGCTCCAGCACTGATGTGAGCCAAGGGCCAGGTCTTGTGGGGAGGTGGTTATGTTAAGCTGTCTTTAGAAAGAACAAATTTTAAATCTCCAGCTTTGGAAAGCCAGCATCTCTGCAAATGCAGGTGTAGCTGTCTGTCTAGCTGACGCCTAATTTCTCACAAGTGCAGGTTGTCAGGTGATGACAGTATGTTATGTACAGTATTTTCCTGGTATGGTGAGGAGAGGTCCCACAGTACAGGTGCAGTTCACACCTGCATTATGTCAGTGTGAATGGCAGTTGGAGATAGTCTATGTCAGCTTTTTATACTGCAACCTATATCCTGCATAGCTTGAAATCCAGGTTTGTGTGCCTAAGCTTGAGAGACTTTTCTATTTCCCCTGTATCTTCCTGTGAGTAAACTGTAGATTCCAGTCTGTTATTAAATTGCCTGTTGTCATTAAGACCACCTGCAGCACATCACCTCTCTGAGAATAGCTTGTCATTTGTATTGCCTTTCTCTCCCTTGTGCTCCATTTCTGCTATGCTTTTTATTGAATGGCTCAGCAATAACAGATTTATTACTTAGGGTGAGGATTAACTGATTTGCCACAGTGGGTTTATAATAATAGATATTCTTTCAGCTGAGGAAAGCCGTTGTTAAACTGCTTGAGTGACTCAGGTGGGATGCCTCTTATCTACAGCCTAAATGTGCTACCAAGCTTCCCCCTGCAGTCAGCTGGGGCTTGGGGTGTCCCCATTGTAGAGATCACTCTTTAGAGGCATCCCTTGTGTGACAGGCAACAGAGACTAGAAAAACAGCTACACTAGTCATGCAGTTAGGTGTGAAAAATTACCTTGGGAACACAGGGCCCAGATTCCTGAGGATACTTAGGAGCTTCTCAAATACTGGTTTTACAGCAGCAGTCACAGCAGAGGGAAGAGAGAGGGCCTGGGGCAGCTGGCAGTGCTGGCACAGTGCTCGGTGGGGAGCTGCCTCCCAGGGGCTGTGCTCTGGGGCTGGGAAGCCGTCCCCAGGTTCTGATCCCACAGCTGGGGCTTGGGAACAGCGAGAAGCCAGCATCTTGTGTACTTTTACCACTGCAGAATTCAGGTGTCATGTGAAGCTCTGCTGAAAGAACACCTATTAAAGGGAGGGATATCCCATGGGGGGGGTGTGCAAGCTTCCCCATGCTTGGTGGCAGATTTCCCTGCTGCATGTGTAAAGTTGGGGCTGATGTGGTGGTAAACAAAAAAGTTATGACTGTGTTGAAAATGCTCTGTCTTGTTTCCTTCCTAGATCATAACTAAAGAGAAAAGGACAGTGTGTTTGGGTGGAGAAGAGGACAAGCTCATTAGCCATAATGTATATACCGTCAAGCAACACGCGGAAACACCCTCAGCAGTAAGACATCCACACATTGCATGTTAACGAGATGAAACAAGAACTTGGAAATCCACTGCACACTGTTGCCTATATACTTTGTACATTGAATTGATATTTGTGCTGAGGTGATCTTATTGTCTAAAACCTACAACATTGTCTATCTTTTCTTGAACAGAAGTATGCATATGGGTTTGAATATGCATATGTAGTCTATTTCCTACATAATCATGTATGTCACCTTGAAAAGACAGACGATGGTGTAACCATGAATCTATTATGTATTGGTACGTCTGTAGACCAAGATATAATTTTTTAAAGTAAGTTTATTTCTTTCAAGGTTTACAAATAACAAAGGTGCACCTTGTATTTAAAATTGCCATTATAGACAAGAGCGTGCATGCACAGTAATTTTTGTTTAAGAGTAATATTTTTAATGTAATAGATTGTAAGAAGTGGTAAGAGAGGTATCTGACAGAGATGAATGTGCCAAGCAAAACCACAACTGTGTGTATTTTAAAGCACATCAATGGCTTTAAGTACCACGTTGTTAAGGATTCTCATGAAGTGCCATAGACTGTACATCCAATTAGAGTATTATTTCTGCAGTGTTATTTTCAGAACCACGTTTTTACTTACTTTGTTAGTACTAATCAGTCAAAGGGCACCATTCTTTTCAAACCAAAGCTGTCTCAGAAATGGCCAACTATTCCTTACTGTAACAGTAGACAGCACAAGAAAGATACTCTAGCCGTACAAATTAACCCATACTGGACATATATATAAACTCTTTTAAGGCATTGTAGTGTAATATTTATGCATATTTTACTGTATAACATGATATACGAAAGGGAAAAGCCATTTCTGAGACACAGTAATAAATGTTTGAGGAACTTCTTTTGCTTCTATTTATAGCCTCTGTCGAAAGTCAAAAGGACTATAAATGTTTTGCAGAGATGGGTTTCACTTTTACTTCATCAAAGTCACGCTCTACATGGTGACTCTAAACAAAGATGCAAGAAGCACTGACATCAGATGCATGACAAACCAAAATATGAAAAAATGGAGATGTTAATTAGTGTAGAAATTGGGTGGGTTAAATACTTGGGTGAGTTTTATATGTGATTTTTTTTGTTCAGATTAACTGCTTATAGCCTTAGAAAGCCTTTACAAAATAAAAACAAAAAAAAAAAAATAGATGTGCATTCAAGTTTTAAGAACGGATTCATCCAAAGGAATTCCTTTTTGTGGTTTGGATGTTGCAGCTAGTAAAGGATATTTTTGCTCTGTTCAGCAAAGTGCTGAAGTGGGGGCCAGGTCACTGGTAGCGTGGAGTGGAAGAAGCGTGAGTTCGGTTGTAGAACTCTCCATACTTCCAAGTTTACTGCAAGTTTTTATGCTTGAGAGAGATGCTTTATAGTATAAGAATGATGTGTTGATTTTACTGATTGTACTGTACATCTATTAAAGCCTTAGATTATTACATTACGGGTTAAAACCCATACCAATGTAATTTCAATCGTGTTAAGAAAAGTATAGGTGACTTCACATGTTATTGTAGTTACTTAACATTATAGAATATTACTTACTTTTTTCTTGTTAAAAGTATAGTTTTTATTTCTTACATTTATTAGATTGTTTTCATTTTCTATTACCAGTTGAATACCATTTCAGTTTATAGAATTTTGTTTTATTAGAGTTTACTGATGACTTTTTCAAAATACAAAAAAAAGGTAGTTTTCTTCATAGCATACTCAGTTTTGAATTTACATGTAGTGTCATATGAGTATTCGTATTATTGTTAACTAAATGATTTATATTTTACTGATTTAATATTACAATGTAAGAATGTCAGTCATTGTTAGTTCTTGTCTAGTTTTCATTAAAAGAACAAAGATCTTTTATATGGATATCTTATAATTATATAATCATTGCTAAGTAAGAAGTTAAGTTGTTGCTATGGCAACAATCCTGGCAGACAATTGAGTAATATTTTGATGATTTATTTTGTTTGTAATTAGTTATTATGAGAAAATCTAGTTCCTAGATATTAGAATAAAATTTATTTTCTACTGTATCCATTTCAAATGTTAAAATATTGTTTAAATATTTTTTGAAATCCCTGAATATCAGGCCTTGTTATAAATAAGCTGCATAATCAATAGATCAAGGGACTTTTTGTTGATAATCCAAATACTCAAAAGTTTACGTAACAAAAACTATCGTGTGTGTGTGCAAACTCTTGAGGGTTGATTATGCTGCAGTTTAGCATGTGGGAACGTATAGAGAGAAGGTTGACTTTTTGCACTTCTGTATATAGTCAAAAAAGAGAGAAACCTGTATAATAGTAAGATCTTATTTTGAATAAAAATGTCTATAATTACAAGGAGTTTTGTTAAGGCTAATAAAATGACAGGCTGAACAAAATTGCTTGCAAAAGTGGCACAGAGTTAGCACTCCATACCCCTTCAAAAAAGTTGCTTTGCTTTATGTGGACAGCTTGTAGTTTGCCAGGATTTTTTCAGCTGGAAAGATATGCCATCCTTCCAAGATCTCATGACTGACAAAAGCTCCACTGGTTCAAATCTGCCTGAAAATCATTCAGAAAAAAAAAAGAAAAAAAAGAAAAAAAAAAAAGAAAAAAAGCAGGTACTTCAAACCATCAAGGTGAAATCATGGATCAAATATTCCGTACATTATTCAGAAACTACTGCATGTTTAAAGTATCAAAAAGTATATTAAAGATATATGCTATTCAAACCAGTTTCTGACAATTTCAGTGGTTTATTGTTCACAAAAAAGATTCTTAAAAACAAATACTGACTTTCACAAAAGAGTTGAATCATGAACAGGCAAACCAAACAGCACACCGTAGCTGTAGTTGTTATGTGATTATTTTTATTGCTCTAGTGGTCCTGTTCTTTTAGCAGGTGAAAAAAAACCCTGGGAAATTGTACCATTTAATGGAAAGCACTCAAGAAACCTTGTCATTACACAAATGCCAGAGCTGGAAAGACAAAGCGATTGGGCCATTGCTGTACCTGATCTCTCCAGTACTCACAGTGAATAATTAGTGAAGTTGCACTTATTTGCAACCCCGCAACTTTCATCTGCTGAAAGGACAGATGTGCTTGGTTTTACTATTATGTAATCACAGACTTACTTTTTGCTTGTAGTTGCTCCAAATTATGTACTCTGTCCTGGGCTGCAATTTGTTTTTATGCTTATTTTATTATTACTGCTATAGTTGACCTTGCTGTATGGAAAAAAATAAAGTGAAATTGCCCTAATAAAAGTTCTCTTTCTTAATTACATTTTTCTGTATCGGCTAAAAATCACACTGCTTCCTTTGCACACATTTTCAGTTTTATCTGTGCATTTGTTCAACTGAAGGGATATCATTTATTTGGGGAAAAAAACTTAGATGCTGGTACTGGGGTTTTTTACAGTGCATCCTATGTTAAAGATACAGTAGATCTATGAAGAATACTAAGTATGTGTGAGGTTATTGTTAAGTCCAGAGAATAAGTAGAAAGCTCCAGGATACCATAGATCTAGATAGAGCTTTTATTACCCTCTTGTGGCAATACTTTCAAGATGCAGGTAAAGGAGATGGGCCCTCAGCAGCTGCCCCCAGTTTTGGTACCTGCAGCAAGGCAGTGACTGGCATTAGAGTGAACCCTATTTCCACATTTTACTCTTCCTTGGTCAGTTTCCCACAGATCACTGATAATCAGAATTATTGACCAAAAAATCACATGCTTAATTTGGAAAAGATAACCATCAGAACAGTTGGTTTCCAAGAGGATTGTAGGTGTCTCCTGTGCTCATTGGCATAGCCCATGAGACCTCACAATTCACAGGCTGGTTTTATCCACTTAGCTGAGCACACCCAGACACCTCATTCCTGTCAGTGGAGCCCCTGGCTCATTGGTACTGCATTTGCATCCATGCTTGCAGTGACACCAGCAGTTAAATCTATCATTGCATTTAGCTGCCAAATGAAAAATACTGTGTTAAGCAGTGCCAGCATTCTAAATTTGCAAAAATAACGTGACTTGATTCTTCTCCCTAACTGATGAAGGCAGCCATGGAGGTTCCTGTGGTTGATCTGGCAGCTGCTGTTCGTCAGTCAGGCAGGAGGCGACCCAGTGGTGTGGACCCTGGGCCACTGGCCCTGCAGGAGCTTTTGGTCACACAGGACCCTCTGCCACAGCCAGGTCAGGTTTGTCCCATTACACTGGGTGATTCTGGGGGCTCAGGCTAGTAGGCAGGTACCAAGCAGCAGCTCTGCCCATAGCAGGGCTCACACAGGAAAGCCAAGAGAAATCAAACCACTCAGCTGCTGAGGAGAACCACGAGAAGGAGCTCCTCCCAAAGCAGTGTCAGCACCAGACCAGGAAGCCCACAGCCGTCACACCTCGCTGGCCAGAGCTAGGGAGGTAGGAACTGTGGAAGCAACAATAGCTGTAGCAGATGTTAAAAGTGAAATGTAAGGATTTTTTTCAAAGGGATCCATGTGTATCTGCAGCTGAGATACTTTCTGAAATGAGCGAGGGATTCTCAGCCTTTGGGGAGGGAGCAGAAACCTGAAAAGGAGTTTGAATGGCCTTTGTGTGATCTGTGCTGAGAGCAGGGAGTGGTGCCAGGAAGAAGGAAACAGAGTAATTCTGAGGGTCTTTTGCATCCACATATGAGTTGTAATAAAAAACAGCCTATATCCTACCCAAACAGAGCACTGTGGTCCTGGCAGCAGCCTCATGCTGTGTGCATCAGTGCCTCACACTGGCTGCCAGTGCTGCCGGGGGGCTGGGTCAGGCATGGCTCTGCCCTCTGGCAGCACCCGAGACACACAGCACATGTAGGGTTGGGGAGAGAGGCACCATGCTGTGGGATGTAGCAACCCATCCCAGCATCAGCTCCTGCAGCCCCGGGCCACAGGGAACGCAGGCTTGGAGAATCGCACAGGTGCCTGCAGAGGTGCTGAGTGCGCTGGTGGGTGTGGTGGGGCTCAGCTGGGGGTGAAGGGCTGGAGGCCACAGGGCACTGCTTAACTGAGAGGTTGCTGGAGGAGGGAGCTGATTGTTGCCGGGGTGGGTGTGGTGTTGGGGTCTCTGGGGAGAGATCCTCCAGGACACTGCTCCTCCACAGCCGCGGGAGGGCATCAGCACCAGAGGAGTCTTTGCATGATGCTTGTGCAGTGCTGACTGGGGTCTCATTGACACATTGGTCTTGCCAAGGTCTAGCCCAGTGCACCTGCTTTCTGGCTAATGGCAGTGGGGCTGCAGTGCCACAGAGTTCCCCTCAGGTTTGTGGTTGTGCCTTGGCTCTGAGAGTTTGTGATTAAAGTGCCGGGTGGTAAGAGCTCTTTGATGCTGCTTTGAAGGAGTTAAGAAGGGATGATTCTCCTGCAGCTGACCTGCCAGAGGTGGTAGAGCGCTTCCATGGGGTGAACTGCCTGTGGCACAGATACACCTGTCTCAGAATGCTTTCCACCTAACTGCTGTGCAGGGCTGCCTGGTTTTTGAAAGGCACAGCTGAAGTGCTCTAAAACAGCTTGTTGCAGCTGCTTTAACTGGGATTTCTCATTGCTGCTGGTGGTGCTGAAAGCTGTGGGGTGGGGTGGGATGGCTGGTGACAGCGACAGTGCCTGGTGGTGCTTCTGCAAGAACTAGGTCTGCTGATAGAGCTGTGCTGGAGGAG